AACAAAAAAAAAAAAAAAAAATGGAATGATTAATAGGAAATTAATAGGTAATGGAATAATTAGGATGAAAACTGAAGTAATAATTAACCAAAAATATAATAAGGACATAATTAACGAATAACTATACAATTTAATCAATAAAATTTTCATTATTAATGTATGGAAACATTTTTGTAGTAATTAAAATGAAATGTTTTCTGAGGATGACAAAAAGTTGAAATAATGTGATTAATTAAAAATGGTGAAAAAAAAAACAATTATAAATGGATGATAGGTAAAGAGAGTTTGAAATAATAAAATTGAGCTGTTTGTTTTGTTTAGTTTTGAAAATGAAAAATAAAATTGGTTGATGAAGTTGGTGCAACTGTTTCAGATCGATCGTTCTGTCAAAGCCCATTTTAATATGTCATCATTGTCATCATTTGGTTGAACAACTAAGGTGTACTACAGTATTTCATCAATTTGTTGTTTAAATAGCACAGAAAATTGTAACTAATTGATTGAAATTTGATAAATTAACAAAACGTTAAACTGTTTAATTTGTCGATTAATTTAAAAATGAAGGAAATGTTTTCGAAAATAATATATTATAGAAAATTGGAAATTAAAAATTAGAAATTAGAAATTATTTTAGAAAATAATACGAAATTTATCGTTTACATAGATTTTATTCCTTTTCGTTTTGTTTTTTTTTTCTAAATTTTTTTTTTTAAATTCTTAAAATGGTTTAATATTTATTATCGTAAGCTTGTTTTAATATATATTATTATGCTAATGATATGATTTGCATTGCTAAATGAATGCGTATTGATTTAAATTTTATTAAATCAATAAAAATAATTAAAAAAAAGTACAACATTAATTGTTTAAGCATATGAATAATTCACACTAAATGATGATTTTTATAAAATCTTTTCACGTTTTATTTCATCTAATTTAACAGTAAAATGTATTAAATCCTATTAATTAATTTAATTAATAACAATTAATAGTCAATAATTAGCAATAGTACTATAAGCTATTAATTAATTATTTGGCGTATTTTCGCTCCAAAAACTATCAAAAATGTTTCTAGCTACCTAAAATAATTCCGGAATTATATATATATATCCAAGGAAAATTAATCATATTATCATAAATTACAAAAATTTTCCAATAATATTTTGCTATCACAAAGAGACGTCAAATATGCTTTGATTACCGGATTGTACAGCATTTGTTTTACAATAATTCCGGAATTTTATATGGGCATATATAAAATTCCGGAATTATTGTAAAATTAATGATATACAATTGTTTGGAGAATTGTTTTTTTATACATTTGCAATTAAATTGAATAAAACTTGGAAAAGAAAAAATTTCCTTAAAATTATGATATAACACAAAATTTTTAAAATTTACGCAATGTATGGTAGACAATGTGAAACTTATTGACGTTACTTGTAATGCCAAACTAATAGTTCACATTGTTTGCGTCAATTGTTTACGTTGTTTACGTGAAGTGTATGTAACATCGAAGTTAATTCATTTATATCAGATTGTAAAAATCTGCAAAACTTCTCGAGAAATATACCAAATTTATTTTATTGAATTTACAGTAAACTTAATCAAATAACTTGCTTTAAAGTAAAGGAAATTTAAGAAAACGTTGTAATTTATAACTTTACTTTTGTTTAGTTTTATTAAATGGAACATATAAGCTTAATTAATGACCTTTGTGGTTATGATAGCAAGTAATCTTTATGGTTATTAATTGAAATGATAATGAATGATTTCACTGATTAACTATTTCCTTTTCCACTTTATTTTTTGTTCACCCTTCTAGCATATGATAATTCGAAACAAAATTATTACAATTGATAAAAGATAAGCATTAAATGATAAATCTTTTATCATTTCATTCAATACATCTCAAAAATTTTTCTTATCAAAACTAAAACACAACAACGATCACAACTAAGATTATTAATCACAACAATTAAAAAAATAATTTTGAAATTTAACACATCCTAAAATTTGATATATCTTAAAATCTAATTTATTCTAAATTTT